TAAGTATACATGATATAATGTGTGTCTAATAAGCTCAGAAATTTGTAGTATTCAATTAACAACAGAAAAGAGAAATTGATAGCACATTAAATCAAATTAGAGACAGAATGTTGATATTAAACTCACAGGAATGATAATTAACAAAAAGAAGTAACACAATATATAAATTGATAAAAATGCAGCATATATTTAAGACATAGATTCAAGGTAAATTGAAATTGCATTATCTTCACGCCTACAAATAAAAAGAAGGTGCGCGCTACATATCATGGTATGGGAAAACTGACAGTTTTGGGGGATGTTTTTGAAACCTAAGGGCTGATTTTCATGAGAAATTTGGTACTTTAAGTGCTGATTTTCAAAGAGAATGAGATATACTGAAGGTCTACTAAGACAATGTTTAGTTCTAGAAAATTGGGAGAAAATAAAAAATCTACAACAAAATAAATGGAGATGAAAGGAGTCCAGTGCTTAGGCCTCATATTAATGTCATCAAGCCATCACTAAAAAGGCATAAACAAATTTTATCTATAGAAGTGGGTGGAGTTCCAGCGGATTCCTAAGTTTTCTAACACAAATTGATGTGAATTTGAAATTTAAAAAATTTGAATAATCCCAAAATTTTTTGAGGCCTAAAGCTGGGAATTTGAAGTCTTAAAAATTGAATAAGTGTATTAAAAATTGGGTGAATTTCTGAATAGAATGAATTATAAAACTCTTGAACTTCTAGAAGAGGATGAACTTTAATTGGGTTTCATTTTTTTCAGCCACAAAAAGGTGTGAAATTGATGAATCTGAAATTGGAAGTAAAGAAAAAGCTGTGAAATTGAAAGAATTCCCAAAGAGCCCAGCCTTTTTTGAAATCAAAATTTGGAAAAAATTGATGCAGAGCTTCGGCAATCACATTGCCCAAAAGCATGGTAAAAGGAAAAATATTGAAATTTGCAGAATTTGGAATTCAGAGCAGAAGTTGTAGTCAGCAGGGGCTTTGTAATCACCTTGACGAAATCATATGCGTACAGATTTGAAGATTATAATGATATGAAGATGCGTGAGGAAGACATACCTGGTAAATGAAGAAGAAAGCCATATAGAAAGAGGACAGTGAAGGAGATAGAGGATATAACACCTGGGGGGTAAGAAGCGTGAGACATCGTGGGGCGGTGGGCGGCGAAAGAGGCGAATGTCGTTCGTCCTTCGTGCTAGAGTAGGCTGCTTAATGAGAAGAGAGGAGGAAGAAGGTGTGAAAAGTACTTCCGTTAGAAATTGGACGGGGGAAAACGGAAAAAGAACGAGTCTAACCCCTTTAGACGCTTATAATATTATATATATATATATATAATATTAAATATTATTATATTATATATTATTATTATATTATTATATATATATATTAGGGAGATGCGGAATATAAAATGTAAAATTTTTTAAAATGTATTCAAAACTATTTAAGCCAATTTAGTACGTCAATTATAAACAAATAAGGAAATTATAAAATATACATTCAATTGATCATTCAATTGATGACCGGACCATTTAAAATGGATAAAGCTATATCTACCCCAACTTTTGTACCCCACTTTGTACCTCGCAGGTTTTGCACCGACACTTTGTATTGGTGTAAAACTAATTTTTTGTTAATGCACCGATACTTTGTGCCCGTGTAAATTTTTATTAACGCACTAACACTTGTGTTGGTGTAAACCATCAAAATGTTTATATATAACTGTGGTGTACAAATGGGGTACAATTTGTGGTGTAAGTGTAGCATGGCCCTTTTAAAATATATCAACCAATAAGGAAATTATAAGAGGCAAAGGTAATCATCATATATCATATCATATCATATACTCCGAATATCATATCATATCATATATATCATACGAGTATGGCTTATTTTCAAAGAAGGTACCCCAATTTTGAAGGTTCTAACAAAAAGGTACTCCATCTTACGTTTGTAACAAAAAGGTACCCCATCTTTTAAATCTATAACAAAATCATACCCCTTCATCGGAATTGATACAATCCGGCGAATTTTTGATGAGGTGGCATCCATGTTGGCTTTCTCTCTCGTACGTGTTAATTATTCTCGTCTTAATAGTTTTTTTCTTAAATAATTTGCATTAAAAAAGTTCAAAAAGTTCAAAAAATTATATTATTTAAAATTATATTTATTAAAAAAAGTTCAATAAATTATTTGCAAATTATTTAATGCAAATTATTTATTTTTATTAATAAAAAATTATATTCTCCAAATATAATAAAAAGAAACTTATTTGCAAAGAATTAATTGTTATTTTAAAAATTTTAATACATGACCAATTTTATTTAAATCAATATTATATTTTCATAAAGAAACATGTTCTTTTTGTTATGTATTGAACATAAAAATATTGTTCTAAATTTTTTTTAAGAAAAAAACTACTAAGAAGAGAAGGTATAATTAACACGTAGGAGAGAGAAAGCTAACACGGATGCCACCTCATCAAAAATTCGACGGATTGTATCAATTCCGATGAAGAGGTATGATTTTGTTATAGATTTAAAAGATGGGGTACCTTTTTGTTACAAACGTAAGATGGGGTACCTTTTTGTTACAACCTTCAAAGTTAGGGTACCTTCTGTGAAAACAAGCCTACGAGTATATCATATTCATATATATATATATATATATATATATATATATATATACATATATATCATACGAGTATGCTCACAAGGAGAAAAGGGGCAAAAATGAAATGATGAACACCAAACGGCTTTTAGGTATCATCTCAAAATCTCAAAATATACCCCTTATATTAACTTAGTTTTTCAATATTTTTCAAACAGACCTACAATTAAATATACTTTCTCAGATTTGTTCCCTCTCCCACCCTCAAGGCCTCAATTCTATTTTTTTCCAATATGGCACATCCTGACATCTACATCTTTGGCAAATTTAGCATATGTGAGAATGTGACTGCTTCGTTATTGAGAGCTTGAGGTGCTTCCATCTTCAGTCATCACTTTGGTCTCCTTTGCATAGTTGTAATGTTTCTATTTTCTAACTTCAAATTTTAGTAATTAATCCAAATTCAATTTATTGACTATTGAATAATTTGTTTCTTGACTATTTTTTATTTTTTTTCAGAATTAAAATGGACTTGGTAGACCCCTTTCACATATTTAAGTTCCAGTTTGTTTCTTAAGTTTATCATTTTGTTCTTGAATGCTTTGATTTAAAATGAGTAATAGAATTAGAAAGTTTAAACAAATTTCAAAAAGGGGCTCTTGATAAGTTTGTTATAAAATATTTACTTTTTTCATAAATGAGAATCAAACTCTTGAAGCTATGAAAATGGAAAGTGTTGATATTATCGATGTTTCATTTTATATTAATGAAACAATTGAAATTGAGAACTTTGATAATATTGATGTTGGTTAAGTATTTCTTTTATTTTGTTATTTTTTTAAATTATAAGGTATTTATAGCTTCCTGTTGGTCAATCTTCTTGCAATTAACGTCCATAGGGAGTTTTTTTGCAGTTTATATGTTAGAGATGTGCTTTGTAAGTTCTTAACTGTGTCTTCTCATCTATTATGTGTTGTATTATTCTTTAATGATTTTGTTGATTATAACTAAAAGGCCCATGGGAGAAGAGACGGCCATGCGTCAAAGGAGCTAATCATGATGGTGCTATGGTTTAAAATACATAAAAAGTATTATTTCTCTTTTGAATTGTCACTAATTAGGGTTACTCGAGGAAGCAGACGACCATGGCAAAATGGGAATATCATATTCATGGGAGACCTTGGCAGCAAAGGAGGTAATCCTTCTAAATGATGGTTCAATGGTTTGACTATATAAAAATGTATCAAATCTCTACTGAATGGCCACTAAGGGGAACACCAAATAATGGTGTTTTTAATCAACAAAAAGAGGAATACAAAATCTAAAATTGAAATCAGATGCATGAATTTACCTCCTCATTGTTAGTTTGTCTATATAAAAAGTATCGATTCTCTGCATGAATTTACAGAGCGGTTTAGTTGTTGTTACGACATGTGCCATCTTACATGGCGTTCTATATGTCTTTTTACGCTTAGTCATCAAGAGGGTTAAATGCATAGGAGAGCAGGAGGTTTAACAGATGTTTAGGTTTGAAGAACTGAACTAAAGGGCGAAAATCCCTATGCCGGTCAGCTTCTCCTCATCACACGGCATAGAACTTCAGACTAAGCTCGCCCGTATCCCTCGCCTGCATGGACTGTTCAGCTTCTTTCTTCTCATCGCACTTCTACGCCCGACGAAGCCCACTCATATCCCTTTCCGGCATAGGATCCTCAGTTTCAAGAGTCTTTTGGGTTATCTTTTGCATTTATTATATATATTATGTTGGTATTGATAAGAGTTTACCATTGAAACGGCTATGGGTTTAGGATCCTTAAATTCCAATTATTAAGATGTGTAATGATTAACATTTATTAAAAAAAGAGAGTGGGAAAGCTTTTAGGTATTCACATGAGCATTGTTGGAGTGTAATTGAGCATTGCTGAGTATTTCATACAATTTGTTGGGGGCTTTTTGGCTGATTTGTGAGTATTGTCGTTCTATCAGTGTGTAATTTATTTGCTTTTTTGTGCAGATTAATAATAATTCATGGAAATAGAAACCTCTCCTATGATGCTATAACAGCGCTTTAATCAAAACAATACTCAACCCCTTGATATGTATACCTTCTATTCTACTCAATGGTGCTAGACACCACTCTCCATTTATGACAGCCTTGAGGTTTCGTGTCAGGGTTTTTCTAAGCTTGCACTCATATTGAGAATTTATATGTTCGACAATTGGTTCATTCTTTAATGTTTATTTACAGTGGTGTTTACTTAGTAGAGCGTTCTACATTCTTTAATGTTCTTCTACAGTGGTGTTTACTTAGTACAACTTCCTAATTTGTTTGTTTTTTTGTGCAGACTATATATAAATCATGGAAGTAGAAACCTTTATTATGATGCTATAATAGCTTAATCAAAATTTTACTCCTTGGTATGTATACCTTCTGTTCTACTCATTGGCATCCTTCAGTCTAGCTTTTTTGTTAATATTTTTCCATTGCACCCATGCTTCCCGCAAATCGTCATGTATCCGATGGTATCACGAATTGCTAATTTTATCCACTGTGAATTTATATGTATGCTCCTACATACAAATATAAAGCCAAGAAGCACATTCTGCTAATTATCATGAATTCTATCCAAAACAACGTAATACTTCCCTAGACTACTAGTTAAATTCTTCAAACTCAATTCATGAATCATATGATGGAGACTCGATCATCTCCTTATTCTTTTTGTAAGTGTTTTTCTATCTTTTGAACACACCTAAAACTGTTTAAAACTTGGTCTAACATAAAAGACACATGGACAAGATGAGTTGTTGGTGGAAATAGGTAGATGGTATATTGTAAATCCAAGTTTTGCAGCTTATTCATAGATTCTGAGGAGCTGTAAAAGTTGAGGTTGAGAGGCTGCCATATGTGATGTTGAGGGGCTGCAATACCAGATGTAACTGTGGAATTGACAAGGGGATTTCAGCAGCTTTAGAAACAGTTCACAAGGGCTTTATATGATTGACTTTTTAGAAGTTATTGGGACTCACTGTTTCTGTGGGCTGGTTTAGTGTTTCCAGGGTAATAAGGTAGATTTGAATCAAGTACAAGTCAGGTTTTTGAAGCTGGGAAAAGCAGTTGACTTGGGCAGAGCACATAGGACTGTTTGTGGACTCATAGGTTTTATTTTAGAATTTGGTAAGTCAGGTTGACGATTGGAGTTGTTGCACAGGATTGAAGCTTTTTGGCACACAACACATAGAAGATTATGCTGCTGTATTGGGTGTTGGTAGCAGCTGTAGGTGGAGTTAATTCTGATTAATAGTGTTAACATAGTTTCTTAAATTGAAAAAAATAGGAGATGAAAAGGTTTTGTGGAGTAGATATGAACTCTCACCGTCTTCACTGCAGCGGTAGTTGTCGTAGCTGACCCTGAATCTGTAACTTCTCTCAAAATGACGGCCTCTAAGTCTAAATCGGGTTCTTGACTGGTCCTCCACATGTCCTTCAAAGAGCGTGCACAACATGCCTTGGCATGTCCGTCAACGTAACTATCTTCTGGGTCATGGCTATGTGCATTGACTCGCTCAGGATTCAAAGTATTCTTAAGAAAAAATTATTCCATAGAATTTTGCAATAACATTTTATTTCCCAAAATATAATATGATTCAATTGAAAATTGTGGTGCTGCAAATAGAGCAATTGCATCATATTCTGCACAAGTAGAAGGTAAAGGAAATATATGGTGTTATTCGGTGTCAATGCCACGTTTTTCTCTCAGCTACTAACCATTTGATTGTCCTTTTGAGTTTAATATCCTTTAATTTGATTAATGAATACTATGTAGCCCTTTAATACATGTCATCTGTGAAGCATGGTGTCTTTAAAATGGTGTCTTTAAAATGGGTAGTTATACAATAAAGGTTTGGCTTTCATGGTAATGGGATACTTGCAACCCGAAGAACAATAAAGGAATTAATAATTAGGACGTGGCATGATTTCAATTGGTGAGGAGTTAGTTGGCTTATTTTCAAAGAAGGTACCCCAATTTTGAAGGTTGTAACAAAAAGGTACTCCATCTTACGTTTGTAACAAAAAGGTACCACATCTTTTAAATCTATAACAAAATCATACCCCTTCATCGGAATTGATACAATCCGGCGAATTTTTGATGAGGTGGCATCCATGTTGGCTTTCTCTCTCGTACGTGTTAATTATTCTCGTCTTAATAGTTTTTTTCTTAAATAATTTGCACTAAAAAAGTTCAAAAAGTTCAAAAAATTATATTATTTAAAATTATATTTATTAAAAAAAGTTCAATAAATTATTTGCAAATTATTTAATGCAAATTATTTATTTTTATTAATAAAAAATTATATTCTCCAAATATAATAAAAAGAAACTTATTTGCAAAGAATTAATTGTTATTTTAAAAATTTTAATACATGACCAATTTTATTTAAATCAATATTATATTTTCATAAAGAAACATGTTCTTTTTGTTATGTATTGAACATAAAAATATTGTTCTAAATTTTTTTTAAGAAAAAAACTACTAAGAAGAGAAGGTATAATTAACACGTAGGAGAGAGAAAGCTAACACGGATGCCACCTCATCAAAAATTCGACGGATTGTATCAATTCCGATGAAGAGATATGATTTTGTTATAGATTTAAAAGATGGGGTACCTTTTTGTTACAAACGTAAGATGAGGTACCTTTTTGTTACAACCTTCAAAGTTAGGGTACCTTCTCTGAAAATAAGCCGGAGTTAGTTTATGCTAGCTTTTCAATATCTTGATTATGTGTGCTTTAAACTCTGGTTAAGTTTGTATACTAATTGTATGTTTTGGTTGTTTGCCTTATGTTTCTTATAATCATGCATGTTAGCAGCAAAGGGAACACTGGTCATTTCTTTGAAGGAGTCTTTGTGGAAGGTGAAGTCTTATTTTAAGAATTTCGGTCTGCTGACAACAAGAGCCAGTATCATGATATGGAACAACAAAGGTTGCGGCTCTTTGGAAATTTTGTTTAGTTTGTGGTGGAGCACTGACATTCCTGGTAAACCATTTTGATTTGCTTTCTTTCCAAGGTTGAGATTGAAAGAGGCCATAACTACTTACTAAGATTTGGAGTTTTTATACTATAGAATCTATTTGTGAGTGAATACCCTAATATAGGTTACTAATAATTTATTTTTATACTTTGTGCAGTGCTCCGAAACGGCTTGCAATTGGTTGATCGAATATCATGGAAACTAAATACGTTTTCTCTTATTACGCCAAATTTAATTTTATTTGATGTTAAAAGTAGTATGAATTAAGTATTTTTAGACTCAGACTTTTACCGAGTAAAAAAAACCACAATAAGGATCATGAGGAAGACTTGGTCAACTTTGAATGGAGGTAAAACAGTCATCGATCGTGCCTTGGCATCTGATAAATAATGGACTAGATTAAAATAATATATTAAATTTGTATCATTTCAATTTATTCTAGAACTTAAATATACAATTTTTATTATATTAAATTTCTATTGTACCATTATTATGTACCATTACGATTGTATTTTTACATGAACATAGGCATAAATTTTAGATTATGGCCTTGTTTGGATACTGGCAGTTGGCTGTTGGCTATTGGCTGTTTATGTTAGCTGGTTTGAATGGCTGATTGAGTTAGCTGTTTTGACCGGCTGTTTCTGTTAGCAGTTAAATTTTAAGTGTTTGGCAACTTTAGCTGTTTATAGTTAGCTGTTTGTAAGTAAAATTATATAAAAGGACATCCCTTCATTTATGGTATATTTTATTTTACAATTTTTTTAAATATCATATCATAAATATATTTTTTAAATTAAAAAAATTAAATACAAAAATTATATATAAATATTTTTTTCATATCATAAATATATTTTTTAATGAATTATAAATATAAATTTTTTAATGATTTATAAATATATTTTAAATATGATATCATAAATATATTTTTTAATGAATTATAAATATAAATATTTTTTTCATATCATAAATATATTTTAAATATCATATCATAAATATATTTTTTAATGAATTATAAATATAAATTTTTTTAATTTTATTTTATTTTTTCGTATTTAGTTTTTTTAACTTTTATTTTATTTTTTACATATATTATAAAATATCTTTCAACAAAAATGATTTTAAAAAAATTATTTTTCCTAACCGCCAAGTCCAAATGCTACTCCCCTTGGCATTTCAGATTTTGGCTTTTCGGATCGAAATGCCAAGTGAAAAAGCCATTAGTCAAACAGTGGTTTTGGCGGTTCGCTTGGTCAAAAAAGCCAAAGTCAGTCAAAGATGCCAAAAGCTATCCCAAATGCTATTTTCCAAACAGGGCCTATATACGAGCCCGTGCGAAGCACGGGGTTAAAACCACTTACTTTATTTTCATAGTTTTTTTAAGAATATTATCTTAGGCCATTTCCAAGAGCTGTACTAAAGGGATAAATCCCCCTTCTAAGCACATATCTACTTTGGTATGCTAAAACACCGAATACCTCATGTGCGTTTTAGTTATTCCTTTGCTTTGATCTTAAACCGTAATGCTTTGGTTTTCAAAGACATGGAACCTACTACTGCAATACATGAATGAAGGGCTCAATCGGGGGACAAGTTGTTGCTAATTGATGGGTGCTACTACAAAAAGAAGAAAAAGTTGCAGGTATTTTTCATGGATCCTTTTCTTTCTTTCTTCTTTCATTTTTTTCATTTCAATTTCATATTGATACTCTTAGATTACGAGAATCTATTTTCACATCTCAAAGGTGTTTGACACAATAAAAGGAAGAGGCACTTGATTTGTTTTAATCCATTTAATACACCACTTATTACCTAGATATTAAACTTTCATTTTAATCCCTTCTGATCACATATCTACTTTGGTATGTTTAAGCATCGAATACTTCAGCTGAATTTTTGTTATTATTATACTTTGATCTTAAACTCTAATATTTGGTTTTCAAACACGGGTAACCTACAGCTGCAATATAAGAGTGTAAAGCTCAACTGGGCTGTGAGTTTTTGCAAATTGATGGGTATACTGTAAAAAGCCGAGGAAAAAATCACAGATTTTTTTTCATGCATCTTTTTCTTTATGCATTTTTTTCATTTCAATTTCATATTGCCACAGAATTCTTAAAATGTGTGTAACTATGGACTGATGGGTGCTACTGTAACAAGCAGAGGGAAAAATTGCAGGTATTTTTCATGCATCTTTTTCTTTCTTTGTGCATTTTTTCATTTCAATTTCATGATTCAATTTCATTTGATCTTTTCCTTTCTAGCTATGGTAACTATGAAATGTTTGTATTACCATAGAATCCTTAAATTTTGAATAAATGATGTGATCCTTTGTCACATGCATTGTAGTCTATTCAAATTAAATTCTTTTTCTTTCTTTTCTACTTCTTAACTAGGCTGAACTTAACACCAAGTGTATCTTTTTGAGGTTATGAGGGAGCAATTGCGTGTAAGGCTGGACCCAAGATTATTACACTTATACGGTGGCCAAAGAAAAGGTGTCATGTAAGTATCCCTTGACTGATTTCATTGGATATACTCGTTTCTCTGCTCAACACAGGGGTTATTTGGCTGCGGTAGATGCTGATTCTGAACCACAATTTTATCATGAGGCTGTAAAATCACCCTCTTGGCGTAAGGCAATGGCGGAAGAAATTACAGCTTTGGAGAATAATGGGACGTGGCATTTGGTCCCTTTGCCTCGTCACAAAAAGGCCTTGGGATGCAAGTGGGTTTATCGTATTAAAAGAAAGTCTGTCGGCTCTATTGAGCGTTTCAAGGCACGTCTTGTTATTCTCGGTAACAACCAGGTGGAAGGTATTGATTACAATGAGACTTTTGCTCCCGTGGTTAAACTTACTACCGTTCGTGTACTCTTGGCAGTGGCAGCGGCCCGGAATAGGGAATTACACCAAATGGACGTCCATAATGCTTTCCTTCGTGATGATTTATTCGAGGAAGTTTACATGAAGCTTCCGCCGGGCTTTCGTCCTCAAACTACAAAAATGGTGTGTAAACTCAGGAAGTCTCTTTATGGTTTGAAGCAAGCCCCTCGTTGTTGGTTCGCCAAACTCTCCGGTGCCTTGCGACGGTATGGTTTTTGTCAGTCTTATTCTGATTATTCACTTTTCTCATTCTCTCGGTCCGGCTCTGTCGTGCATGTTCTGATTTATGTGGATGATTTGGTTATTGCTGGGGATAATTCTCTGATCTTGAAATTACCCGTTTCAAGAAATATTTGTCTGATTGTTTTCATATGAAAGATTTGGGAGTTCTGAAATATTTTCTTGGTGTGGAAGTGGCACGCAATCCGACAGGCATTTTTCTTAATCAAAGAAAGTATGCGCTTGATATTATCATGGAGACAGGATTACTCGGCAGTCGTCCGTTAGGTGCTCCTTTGGAGCCCAATCATAAGCTTGCTTTGTCTAATAGCCCATTGATGGATGATCCTGGCGCCTACCGTCGTTTGGTTGGACGATTGGTGTATTTATCTGTTACTCGTCCGGATCTTTCTTATGCCGTTCATATTTTGGCTCAATTCCTTCAGGCTCCGCGAACTGATCATTGGCATGCTGCCTTGGGAGTTGTTCGTTATCTCAAAGGGACACCGGGGCATGGCATTCTTTTACGCACAGATAGCTCTCTTCAGCTTACTGGTTGGTGTGACTCGGATTGGGCCGCTTGTCCTTTGACTTGTCGTTCTCTCACAGGTTGGTTTGTGCAGTTAGGCGTCTCCCCCGTATCGTGGAAAACTAAAAAACAACCCACTGTGGCACGCTCATCCGCTGAGGCTGAATATCGCTCAATGGCGGTTTTGACGTGTGAGCTTAAGTGGCTTCGTGGGCTACTACGTTTTCTCGATGTCAATCACGCTTCTCCGATGGAAATTTTTTGTGATAGTACGGCCGCTCTTCATATTGCTGCAAATCTGGTATTTCATGAGCGCACCAAACATATCGAGATTGACTGTCATTTTGTTCGGTATGAATTGTTGCGAGGGTCTATTCGTACTTCTCATGTTTCTACTCATAACCAGTGTGCGGATATTTTTACAAAAGCTCTGGGCAAAGGCCAATTTGATGCTTTTCTTCCCAAGTTGGGCATTTGTCCTCTTCATGCTCCAACTTGAGGGGGTGTTACTGATCATTATTAGTATTATTCATTAACACAAATTGATAATACAAGGCAATTCCATGACTTGAGGAGATTGGGTTGGGGCGTACGACCAGGGAGCAGCGTATATTTTGGAGATATTATGGGAATATTGTTAGTGATTGTGTTTATCTAGTTTTCCTTGTATAGCTTGTGATGTAAATATATATACGGTAGTCAAGTGCTTGTAAACATACGAACGAAATATACAAGAATATTTTCTCGAGTTTACTAAACTTATCAAATGCACATGCCTTCAACAACATATTCATTATTTTCACTCCCAATTTATTTGCACAGCTGCGTTGTTCCATTGAGGGGTCGGGAGCATATCTATCTATATCTATACTATATTTAAAAAGAGGTGAATTTTTTCCCGCCTATATGTAAGAGTTATATATGGAAATGTTATGCATTTTACTTATTATATAAATGTGGATGCATTGAATTTAGTATGCATTAATTAATACTCCATAATTAATGGTAAAAGAAATATGTTAAGGATAACTTTGTATGAGCATAAAAATGAGGAATTTTATAGAAGTATTAACTGATATGTAGTAATTAATTAATAACTAATTGTAATGTAGAATTTCATATGAGCATTAGAAATGTTTTCATTTTTATTTAAACATATCAATATGTTTTTTAATAACAACGAAACAGTAAGGTAGAAAGGGAAATATGCTTCGATTTGTATTTAAATGTTATGCCAATTAATGGTAAGTGATAAGTGGGAATATGTTTCAATTTTTATTTAAAAAAGTATGTTTTTGTATGAGCATTAAAAATTTTTTTATTTTTATTTAAATACATTAATATGTTTTATTTTTAATAATATCGAAAAACCGTAATTATTTGGGTAAATGTGTTGCTATGTTGAATATGTTTCCGTTATTATTTAAATGTTACGCCAGTTAATGGTAAGTGTTGCTATGGTAATTTTGGATTATATCAATTAATAATTGTATGGTAAATGGGAATATATTTCTATTTTTATTAAAAATTACTGTTTTCGTATGAGCATTAAAAAAGTTTCCATATTTATTTAAAACTTATTACCATTTTTAAGTTTAAAATTTCCATTTATTTAAACCTTTATTTAAAATAGTTATTACCATTTTTTTCCAAGTTTAAAATAAAAACTTATTACCATTTTTATCTAAGTTTAAAAACAATAACGTACACTTGAATTTTTTTATTTTATTCCACGGGTAATGAAATATACTTGGAATAAAATTTCTAAAACATTAACTATTTTTGATAATATGAAAAGAAATGAATAAAATAACAAAAAATGAAAGCTCTCTGTAAAAGTTCACTTTTATCATTAAATGAAAAAAATAATTACCCTAATAAAAGTCTCTTTACAAAGTCTCTTTATTTTTATGGAGTATATAGATCTCCACTTTATTAGTAATTTGACAAAATGAAAAAAAACAACACAATTAAATCTGAACAAATTTTTTAACCAGAGTTTTGATTAATGTTTTTTACTCCCTCCGTCCCATTTTAAATTGCCTGTTTGCCTTTTTTCTCCGTCCCAAAATAAGTTGCCTGTTAGTTGTTTTCGTAAACTTTTAAAAATAAAATACCTAAACTACCCCTAAAATAAGTCACACTTCTTCACCTTATCTTCTCATTAATCATCACCCCTCCTAAAAAGTAATGTCAATTTCGGAAAATCAACTCTATTTTTTATTTTCCTTAAATATGCCCAAAAGTCAAAACAGGCGATTTAAATTGGGACGGAGGGAGTATATTTTAGTCATGGAGAAATTTATATTGTAGTTTAAGAGTAATAAATCATAATTACTTGAAGATTCTAATATGCAATGAAGACATTATTTTCATAAATTTATACGAGTAATGTGAATTATAAAGTAGTCTTTCAGATATTGTAAATCATTTAACTTTTGTAACTTAAAAAAATGAAATCTATATATTCCATTATAAACTAATTTGTAACATTCAAAAATAATGTTAATATAATTTAATAACTTAAATATGACCCGTGCAACGCACGGGTGTGATACTAGTTTTCTATACCAAGAATTAAGGTTGGTGAATTTAATTCGTTTATTGATTGAATAATTGATTTGGTAAAAGCGTCTATGCTATACTGACCGAATGATGAAACATCTTCCCATATCCATATTTTACTAACCCATATTTGATATTTCAAGAATATTTCACAGAACTCTAAAGCCTCAAGTTCATAATAGAAGAATTATAAATCAAAATCAGTTGCATTAAAAAAATTTGGTCTACATGAGATCCTTTGTTAATTACATTTACCAGAGTGCTAATCAAAGACAAAGAAGAAGATACACTTGATCAGTGGTAATTACGTGTGATTATTTCATTTTCAAAAGTGAATTCTAGCTTTTGAATGAATTTACTCTCATATATTACATGTATTTATGAAAAAATTGAAGTTAGTTTTGTTGAAAAACATTATTACTCTAAACCAACTCAAGGTTGAAATGTTTGTGTTGTAAAAGTAGGTATAATGTCTCTTGGCAGTTCAATATCAATGACATTTGGCTGGAAAAGTACTAATTATCTCATATACTCTTTTACAAACCCAATCATATGGTTTTACAATCTATGAATACAGATCATTATTAGTGTTGGGGTTTAGCTGTCAAATATCATTTGGTTTACTATATATAATTACTTATTGAATAGGTGAAAAAAGAAAGCTTGATATTTTGCTAACAAGGTCTACCTGTAAAACTTTAATTCTGTTTGGTGCAACTTCTATTTGTAGTTTGATTCTGTTTCTGTTTGCACTACGCCAAAAACAGTATCAAACGACTGTTGATTAATTCTGTTTATGGAAACACAGTAGTTAAAAAAACACAGACTCCTGAGATTTTTTCTTGGCTACAGAACAGTAGTCTAGCTACTATGCTTTAAAACTATTTTTAAAGTTTCGAGAAACGGTAATCGATCACTAGTTGTCTGTGTCAGTTCAAAATACAGTTTTTGTTACAACAGTTGTCAATAACAAGTTAAGAATACTCTATAAAAATAGTAGTATGGTGTTTTAGTCTATAACTGTTTTTAAACTTATTTGAAATAGTTATCTATTGCTAGCAATAGATAACTAGCAATAGTTATCTAGCAATAGTTATCTATTGCTAATTGTCTGTTTAAACAAACAGCACAATGGAGTATGCTATTCGAAAATGGCAGCACTGGAGATCATGATTTGCCAACAACAGCTTTGGGTGGCTCTCGAGCGAAGTAGTCTAGCCAAACCTAGTGATGCCACAGAAAACCATTCCACGTAGCTAGTTGTGTCCTATTTCTCTTAACAATACCGGCCATTACAGCTTCATGAACAAACACTACAAGAAATATGTCCTTTAATGAGAGTAAAAGCTGTAGTTAAAGAAAGAAAAACCTTCATTAAAAAGTTTTAATGAGAGGAAATTTACTCCTAGATTCATAAGTTATCAAAGAAGCCTACTTAGTTTTTTGTATAAATTTATGGGGGCGGGGGATTAGAGTTTAAGTCAAAATATCCCTGTGTCAGTAGTATATATACTTACTGGAACATCATTACCAATCAAAGACAAAGAAGCAGCATCAACCTATTCAGTTACACCGTCATCCAAAGTTATCACAAATTTGCTAGTGGTCAAAACAGCCTTCTCGATTTCAGGAGACACCAAACAATCCTTAGTATTATCAGGAGAGACATCCACAGAAGTTATATCCTTGGTTGGAGCATAGGTTCAGAAGCTTCCTTGGGCTGTACTGCAAAAGTTGCCTTGTTGGAAGGTGAGCCATTTCATTGAACGTGTGCCCCCTCCTATATATGAAGGATTGAACAAAATATTCATTAGATGTATCATTTGACTAATTCTAATGAGAAGAATTTAAAAAACTTCCCCTCGCTGCTTCTTAGCCACAAATCATCATCAAAACTAAAACGAAAGCTTTCTCCCAAAAAGAGAAGAGAAACCACCAAAATAAATTGAAAAAGACATGAGGCTACAACGTAGGCCCAAAGTAAAACCCCAAATTAAAGTCCCTTCACGCAAATTACAACTTACAAGTGAGCACTGAAGCTTTAGTTCCCAAATTGAATTCAGTAATGAAACACTTTTCAAACACAATCAAAAAGGCAGTACAGTAGCATATGCGACATACTTCGTCACACTCTGCAAAAGAATATGCAAAATCTTGATTCTGATTTATGAAGCTCATGTTCTTTTTTCACTTTGGTTTGCATACAAATTCTCAAATTCAAATAGCCACAAATAAGCACAAAAAATATATATATAGTTAGAATTGTCTACTTTTGAATCAACAAATAAAGGTAATGCGTATAGTATAAAGAAGAAAAAAACTTAAACATACTATGCAAAGTAACAATCTAAAGTTACAGATTGTGAAGTAGAGAACCAATTCATTGTCCAAATTTTATTTGCTAGCTAGACATTGAAATAACTTTTTAAGAACAAAAATAATTTTCAATTCTGAAATCCTTTTGAAATAAAGTATAAAGCTTAAAGAATTAACTAAATATTTAGAATCAGAAACTCAAATCTAACTCTCATACTGCCACATGAAGACTCAAATATAACTCTCATACTGCCTTCTGAAAAAAATCACCAGCCCAAGCAATAAAGGCTAGACCAGTAGCAAAACCGCACACCGCACAGGTACACTAGAACATGAACAGTAACTCGAGCAACCAAATCAAAGAGACCAAAATCAAGTTGTTTGAATTAGGATTCCAACACCAGACGTAAAATGGCCCTTGAATCACGAACACAATACCAGAAAATGGGATGGAAAACGAGCAAAAAGCATGGGTAGTGAAAGAACATGGTGAGATTTTGAGTCATTTATTAGGCATAATCTACTCGACACGTCAGGTTAGTGAGATTTTGACTGCATTCTTTTGTTTATTTTCATATTTCATTGATAGTTAGAAAGAACATAGGACTAATGTACATAAGAATGTTCTGCTATTTGGTGCATAGGTTATCATACCCTATATGAATGGTACCGATCAGTCGAGAGCGAGCATTTCCCAGATCCTACGGGTCTTAAAGAACGTTTAGAGCGATGGACATTTGGCCTTTATCCAGCCTGCATCAAGTATCTCATGTATGCATTTGATGTGCCTGAGGCAAGAACAAATGTTAACTACTACTGCAATTAATGCTAATCAATTACTAGTTATTTTATTTTTTATGGGTTGTGTGGGATTGCTGCAATATATTATGAGTTTGTGTGTGAAAGAGGTGTTTGAAGTACAACTAAGTTTAGTTATCACATTCATGGAACCAGTTACTAGGTCGATCCAGAAGAGCAAGGCTTTCATGAAGTTGATAAAGGTTATTGATATGAATCGGTTACTACATTGGGGATGACATGTATGAGACAATGATTGAATTTGCAAGGCATTTCATGAAGTACCATGCAACTTGAACAATTTAAGTATGATATTTGAACAAATGACTAATTTAGTTGGCTCAATGGGCACTTATGATGTCCTTTTATTTATGTAAATATTAATTATTTGATGATATTAATATTTTGAATGTACGATTTTAGATATTACTCGATGCATTGTAATTTTTGGAATTAATTTTTGTTTTAGGATTAATATTTTATAATTGAAACAAATTTTAATTATTAAAAATGGGTGCCTTTGATTTAGAGAGACAATACAAAATAACCATAGTTGGATAAACAATTAGACTACTATTCAACTTGATAGTTTGAATCGTATATGGACAACTACACAAACCTGTAGTCTTAATAATTGTTAGACATCTAGAACACACAATTGTTTGAAATGAAACAAAATAGTCTTATACTTTCTACATATACCATAGAAAATAACAGTTGTTTGCATATTATTTTAACAAAATCATAGTGTTAATAATCGTTATACAACAAAAACAAACAGTTGTTTAAAATAAAACCAAAGTACTAGTCTTAATTTGTACATACAACACAAAATAACAGTTGTTTGATGAAAATATTTGTAGTGGTCTTCTGAGCAGCTGTCTGATAATCAATTACACTACTGTTCAAAAATATAGTTTGAATATTTTAAGGACAACTGCAAAAAAGTGTAGTGTTATTGTGCACTATACAATTGAAAGAAACGGTTGTTTAACATACAACAAAATTAGTAGTCTATGTTTTAGAAATATAACACTAAATAACAGTAATCTAATACTATTTTTGTTTAGTAGTCTTCCGAGCAGCAGTCAGATATATCTTTCAACTACTTTAGAAATTAGATATCTATATTTTTGACCGACAACACCAAACAATAGGAGTCTGAAGTCGAAAACAACAGTAGTATATATTATAGATAGATAACAAAAAATCACAATTGTCTTTAACTCTAGAAAACAGATGTCTTACTCATACGAGGACAACTTCAAAAACATGTACTCTGAAAGATCACAAAATAGGTGTCGTCAACCGCATTACACAATTGTTTTTAAACAGTAGTCTGTAAATATATCAGACAACTGCTCGGAAGACTACTAAAACCAACACAGTTAGACAACTAAAATAAACAGTTGTCAGCATCTGTTTTTGACGTAGTGTTGCTTCGAAGAGTCTTAGATTTGGCTAAATAACTGGTGATGAAGTTGGAGGATGTATATACAAGTGTTGTTTGTTACACCTTGGTACCAAAATCTATACTCAAATTTTGACGAGGTTGTCCTTTGTTGAAACTACACTTAGTTTAATAAGTTTGAATATTTGTAAGGATGTTTTTTTGGTTTGTTTGGCTATTGGATGATAGATTTTGCTTTAATTGTTTGGATTGAGATAATTGATGTTGTCGTGTTGTAGTCATTGGAGCTTGAGAGCTTGGGAGTTTGGTTATAATACTGGATTTTTTCTCTAAACTAGAAGACGAAAAAAGGAAAAGAAAAAAGAACTACACTCTCCTTATGGGCTTCTACAAGTTCTTACTCTTCTAGTCTTCTACATTTTTTAATAAAATTATTTTTAAAAAAAAGTTAAATTACAACACTACTGAATATCTTAAATCTGGAGTTCTATCTTTAAAAAAATGAGAGCAAATATACTCATAAAAATGATTATTTCTACTTGAACAACACATTTCGCCATTTAGTATTCATTTTTTAGTCATCAAATATACATTTAAAAAACGCAAACACTCGCATAAATCACGAGCCCGTGCAAAGCACGGGGTAGAAAACTAGTAGTTATAAAATGCAGGTATAGAAAAATTTAAACAAATGACATGACATGCTACTATACTTTAAACAACCTTCACGTTATTTAATTTGGGTCAAATTATAATTTTATAAATTTAAATTTTATGATTTTGATCCCTTTTCTTTTTTTCTCTTAGTTCTCCACCCTTTTCTTCATCTTCTTCAAGACCCCCCACCCTCCCCCTCCATTGTTTTCTTCTCTTCCTCTTCCACCCCCACCCCCCTCTAATTTCATATTAAAAATATTAGCCGTGCAACGCATTTAGAAAGTAAAAAGAGCTAGAACTCCAAAAAAATTAAAAGGAGTTGAAATTAATATTTTTTTTAATAAAATAGGTTATACTGACATATTTTTTTGAAAGGAGTTAAAATATAATCCTAACATAACGATAAAATATTTGTATATTTATTCTTAAAAATAATTACATAAGAAGTTATTTTTTATTCTGGACATTGTTTTCGGATTAAAAGTCTATTAAACATTTTCATAAATAACCAGATAACATACTCCATACTAAAACAGAAAGTTTAGGAAAATCTGACATAGATTATAATTAATAGTATTTATTTAATGATTTCCAAAATATTTCATTTTAATTATAAATTATATACAACTAAAATTAATATTTAATCTTCTCATGGAAGTCATCTAAAGAAGAGTGAGATGTTGAAAAAGTAAAATCTATCTAATTTAGAATTTGTTTGAAAAGAAGAGTTAGATGTTGAAAAAATTTAAACAAAATTTAGAAAAAACTAAAAAGAATTACAAGTTTGAAAATATTGAAAGGAGTTGAAATGAATATTTTTTAATTAATTAAAATAAGTTATGCCTCATGTTTTAAGTTTCATTTGTTTCTATTTTTTGTTATATATCCTATTATTTTCTATCTTAGACCTTATTTAGAACAATAATATTTGTGTGACTCACACTTATTATTTCTCTTAATTTTTAATATCAATATCATTCATACAATTTTTCTTTTCTTGGTTTTGTGTCCCTAACTCATGTCAGAAAAATGTTGAGACGGAGTAAGAAATATTCTTTATTAATGTTTTTTGAGAGAAATAATTCAATGTTTCATCGATAAAACAAAAATAATATTAAATTTCACTTTATCCACTAAAATAATTACAACTTTGATGTGACTCACAAAATTACTCAAGGACTAGCGGTATTCATTTATTATCACAAAAAGGTTGTTAAATAGCATTCCACATCGGAAAAGTGTGAGAAAATTAATCGGTATATAAGCTCTTGAGTTGAACTAGCTAATCGATTGGATTCAATCTTTTAATGTGGTTCAACCCAATTATCTTATTACCCAATCCAGTTGTCCATATCCCATCCTAAATTCTATCATGGTATCAGAACCAGTTTTAGCCTACCTCGTTTGTAAAGGTGTTCGTCTAGACGTTCATTTCTAGCGGCCCATTTGTCTTTAGCCCAATAGTCCGTATGGAATATGTACCCAACGGCCTGTGGCCCGTTTAACACGATTGCTCGTCTGGAAGTTCATACCCAGCGGCTCGTGGTTATTTAGGTGTTGGCGCTAAAAAAAGGTTAGGGAATGGGAGTTCATTTGCAAGTGGTCAACCGGTTAGAAATGGCCCGGTTGTCCATTAAAGGGGGAGTGTTAAAGAGCATCCCACATCGGAAAAGTGTGAGGAAATTAATCGGCATATAAGCTCTTGAGTTGAACTAACTAATCGATTGAATTCAATCTTTTAATGTGGTTCAACCCAATTGTCTTATTACCCAATCCAGTAGTTGTCCTTATCTCATCCTAAATTCTATCAAAGGTCAATGAGATACAAATTAATTACTTTATTCTGATTAAGTAAAAGAATCATTTTAATATGAAAATAAAAACAATTAAAAAAGAATATGATAAAAAAGAAAAAAACTCAATCAAAAGTATAAAAATGTAAAAACAAATAAAAACAGTGACCTTTGTGCATGTTTGAGATATCTTATATTATGAATATCGATGAAAAGTGTTATTGGAATTGTATATTCATTTTCTAAATGTATTGATTCGATTATAATGTGGTATATGTTCTTATTTTTCTTTATCTAGTGACAGGCAAATAAATATAATAATGCATCCGTCTTCGCCAGAACGTGCAGGGTGGAAGAGTTCCCCATGAAGTTTGGACAATGACTTTCCTACCACCCATGAATTTTGGCTGAGCAATTTGCTTTATGATTTTCGATCAATATCAAAACTCTACTGAAGAGCTTTAACCTAAGGTCCCATTCTGTTCAACTTATTTTTTCTGCTTTTTTCTTATTCTTATTAAAATCAGATCAGACCAGATCAGATCTAATTAGATCAGATCAGATTAGATCCAATCAGGTCAGATCAGATCCAATCAGATCAGATCAGATTTAATCAGATCAGATCCAATCAAGAGTTATTTTTTTCATAATTAAAAAAATTATATAAATATTCCTTTTAAGTTTTATATAAATCAAACACAAAATCATTGATATTATTACAAAATGCATATCATGAAAAAATTTCATTTGAGTGTTTTTTAATATTAAACAACTTATTTGAAAAAATAAAATCAATTCTTCATTTATAAAGTTTTAATATTATTTTTTTAATATGTAAATTTTTTTGACTTCGTAAAATAACTCAAGTATATTAATACGGAGTATAATTTTAGTCAAATGTTATAAATTACTTTCCTTAGGTATTTATAAATGATAGAGAGTGTGTGTATATATATATATGTGTGTGTGTGTGTACATATATTTATTTATTTACATATTTATTTATATAATTTTTAAATATGTTTAAACTGGTAGAACCAATACCTTGACTGGTTCAGTCATTCATCTTTTTTTTTTTGAATGCTATTGACTCTATTACAAGGTAGTATCTGTTCATACTATTCTCAAGTTAATGACTAATGACGCACAAAAAGCCAATGCTGCTGCCTTCGCTGGGGCTTGAACCTGGGTGAAATTCCCCATGAATCCTGGGGAGTGGGCTTGCTACCACTCAAGCTAGGGAGGGGAGAAGTTCTTCAGTCATTCATCTAATTGTAAAAATTACTAAAACCCTACAGTGTTCCAGAGAATCCGAACCGGTATAGAACATGTCCCCATCCCGCGCTACAAGAAAACAACGAAACCAACCCCGACAACCTGGACACAAACATTCCCACCGAAAAATTTTTTCACACTCCCTGCTTCAATATTCATCGTTCTTCTCACCTCTCGCGTGTTATCCCCTACTGTTATCATCAGAAGTCAATTCACGTATTTATCTCTTGTACTATAATCAAGTAAGTTCGATATTGGCGATGATTCGTTATGTGATCTGCTCTTTCTCAATTTGGGTTAGATCTTATTGGTTGTAATTAGTTGATTTCTCGTGGACTATAAATTTTGTACTTCCTGTGTCTGGCTTTGATTTTGAAGTCATTAGAAGCATTGTTTAACTTCACTGTTTCCTAGCTCCTCAAACGAGATTCAGCATTAGATCGTCGAAATCAGGCCTACTAACTGACTCAACAATTCAGCGTATCATTCAAAATAGACAATGTAAATAACAACAAGAGTTAGTAACAGAATTGTGTCAAAACAGGAAGGTTCTTGTAGTAAAAGTTCATTAAAGTTTTAAAATCAATCACAATTTCATAAAAAAAGGAACGATTATCCAGAATATCTCCTCCTTTATCCAGCCTTTCAAAAAAAAAAAAAAGAATCTACTCCATATTATTTCGATGCATAATAATCCTACCTTTACTGAAATGTGCGCATTTTGGGTTGCTGTTAAGCTATTTTACGGCTGGTTAACAAAAAGCGCATGTTTTACTCAACAAAATGAAAGGTGAGAGTATTTTTTTATCATTTTTTCTTTTTAATTTTTTTTGAAATTGGGTTGGTAATTTTTGCTAAGTTGGACAGCTTTAGTTTTATTTCACTAATTGTGCATGGAATTTGATCGAAAGGAGTGATGGCTCTGTGTTGGATTTAGATTTACTTATTGTCCAAGGCTAGTCACTTCCTTGCGCCCGTATTGGGGATTTGTAAAATTTGGTCCAAACGGCCGGTCGTCCAACTTTCTGCTCCAGAAAAATCAGTCAGGATCGTAGTTAGCCCCTTTGCTCTTCACTTTGTTCAAGGTTCTCTTTCATTTTAATATCTACTCTTTAATTTCCTTCAAAGTTTCTAATTCTCATCTAACATGAATATTTGTTTCAACTAAAATGAATTAGTGGGTTATTGTGTTAATTTTTATTTCTAAATTAAGATATTTTGTGCGAGTGGTGGGTGAAAATAATTACTTTTTTATTTTATAAGAATACATGCCTTTAGTAAGATGGTAATTGCCCAAGTTATTTGTTGCATCTCTCATGTTCTTTTTTTGTGTGGCCATGTAGGTGTCATATTTGGTCATTAAGCTTCTTGTATTTCTAGAGCATGGATTGGACGTGGCATCGCGGCCGATGTTAGTCTTACGGTTAAATTATTTCACACACATATATCTTTGTATATTATGTTAATCCCTAGCTAATGTTCTTTTTTATTATATCTTCTTTCATGTTGAAGCTATACGAGCTTTGACTAGTAGTTATTCTCATTTTGGCGAAGTCGTTGAAGATTATTATCATCTCGACCCCATCATTAAGAGGGCTGTGATGAGAGCTTCTTCAAGCGTTGTCTCCATTATAACCCAAGCTGGTACGTCTCAGTGTGATCTTCTTTTCTGATTTCTATATGTCTTTATTTTCATCATCTATACCATCTTCAACACAAATAGGTTTGGCTTTATTAGACTTGGAAATAGGGTTTTTAATTAAATCTTGCATTCTAAAAAGAATTTCGTGTATAAATGCCCACAGGAAAAAAATTGCTGCATATTGGATCTGGGACTATAATTGAATATGATGAACATTATGGATGTGCTACTGTCCTCACTTCTGCGTCTCTACTCCAAGCCCCTGGAGTTGCTGGGTTTCTACCTTCTGATCTTAAGGTTGGTGATACTTCTTAATGTTGGGCACCATGTGGTTGGCCTATGTTTCTCTAATTCCCATAATTGCAGATACGTTTCCACTCTAGTGGTGTGCATCTTTTGATGACTTGTGAAATTTGTTGTTTTTATGCAACCATGTTGTTAGTAAAGTAGGTTCAGACATGTTTGAACATGTTTGATGGTTGCATGAGCTTTTGGATGTATTGAGTAAAATCAGTAAATATTGAGTATAAGCACCTACTACCTCCATTCCTCTTTAAATTTTTTTGTGGACCGAATGCACAAAATCCACAAATATATTGATCACCAAACATTCCCAACAAATTACAAGCAAGCAGAATCACTAAGGACTAAGGAAACAAAACTAGTTGCGAAATACATATTTTTCTTCCTAAACATTTTCTTACTCCATACTTGTGAATAGTATGTTGTTTGATGGGCGTATTCCACCCAGTACCGGTCCAAGGGAAGTCCACCAATGTTTGACCGGTCAAACGATGAATTTTCGGAATAGGAAGCTTAAACGAGAAAAGTTTATATTGGTCGGTGACAGAAATTTGACCGGTACACTTCGATTACTTTACCAATCAAACGACGTAACCGCTATGGTTTCTAGGGGTGGGAAGTGTCGGCATGAAAGAATCCAAGGGAGGTTGGACTGTAGCGGCTGAATTCAATGAAGGATCACTGACGCGACAAGGGAGTCACCTTCCTAGCTAGATGACAAGGGAATAAAGGGATGAAACAAGCCACTAAAACACAGAGGCAATCACCTCGCGCCACCTAGGAACATGGCCTGACGTGGATGTGCGGCACCTTGTCCCCTTTAGCTTCCTATAAATACTTGTGTAATCCTCAAACTAAGGATCCAAATTCTTCTCTCTAAAAACCCTTGTGTAATAGCTCCCGTGCACTTTACAATATTCTGATAACAATTGCACTACATGTGTTTCCACCTGGAGTCCTCCCGGTTAACTTTGGTGTTTACTACCTTTTACTTTCTCGAATTCCAATAAACAATCCTATACCCAGTCTAGTACTGTTTACCCGGTTGGTAATTTACACCATCATTTTTGGTGCCACCCGTCGGATAGATAAGATTTCTTTCTTCATCCAAAAAACCAACTCACGAAAACACCACTCTCAGAATGTCTTCAAGCCAGTTGAACAACACAACTTCTACCCCGGTGCAAGCCACCGCTGAAGAGTGACCATACCGATGGTTACTTTCTAACCGGCTCACTCTGCCGTTGTGATGTCGATGAGTTTAAGCCCCATTTCGGCATCAACCATGTCCACTCCTCTGTTCACAATCCCCATTCCGTCTGCTAGGCCAAGAGGGTCATGTTTCCCCCAAGCATGACTCAATTCATGAATGACCTGGCCAACTAGCAAGCTATCCAAGGTTTTGGTCAGGTTATGGCCATGTGTCAACAAAACGGAGGGATGCCCTTCCTCTCGGGAATGTTTCTGTTTGCTCTCCCAGGCGCCAGAACATTGCCGCTACAGGCTTCGATGATAGCGTCACCCTTCCAGACGCCTGTGCCTCAGCCATCACCCTTCTAGCCACACGTGGTCAGCGCCATGGCCCCCGTTAATCAGATCGGTGCACTGAATGTGGCCGGGCCATCACGCCCTCCCTTGAGTGCACACCATTTCCAAAGCACTCTCGAGGGTCATTGCAAGAAGAAAAAGGCAAGACCCAGAGGCCGACAACCTCCCGTGACTATGCCTTCGAAAGGCTGGGGGAGAGAGAGGAGTGCCAACGAAAGTGTGCAAAGATGAGGTTCGGACAAAGCGCGGCCTATGTCAGGGCATTTGCCCGATTAGGCGAGGGGAGGGAGGTCGAGCCTGCCCATACCTGTCGCACCTGGTCAAATCAGGCTGAACCCACTAAATCACGGGTTTCGCGTCGTGAGGGAGAAGCGGAAAGCCAACCCAGAGAACCTCTAAGAAGCAGGTTAGGAAACCCCCCAGATCGCGTCCAGCGGATGGAAGTGAAGCTCGAGATGTTGGAAAAAAGGGTGGAGGAGAAGAATGACAAAGAGAAACGCCTTGCGGATTCTCCATTCACTGCAAGGGTCCACCTGATACCTTTTCCCTGAAACGTAAAGGTGGAAGCACCAAAATTCACAGGAAGGAGGATCCCGAGATTCATTAGGATTCCTTTAACCAGAGTGGAATCATGATGGGGTGCACCGGTGAGGAGAAATGCCTCCTTTTCTTCCAGACCCTGGGAGGTAGGGCCACAAAATGGTTCAATAAACTCCCTCGGGTGGTCTTGACTCATTTACTGAACTGGCCTCAAGATTCAAGGCCAAGTTCCAAGAATACTGCATGAAGAGGAAGAAGTTCACTTATCTAAGTACAGCCAGGCAAAGGGAATCTAGGCAAAGGGAATCTGAGAACATCACTCAGTTGAACTCGGTGGAAAGATGAGGTGGACTAAGTAAAAGAAATGGATGACAAGACGGTCTTTTCTCTCTTGTTGAATGGCCTGCGTGCCGGGAACTATACAAAGAGTTCTGTCAGAGGCCTTTGCCACATATCAAGAGGCTTACCACACGGCCTGGGAATTCGCTGAAGCCGAAACCCTGGATCGGGCAAAGAAGGAAGCAGAGCACGGCCACAAGCCCAAACAGGTGCAGGTGACACCATTATGACCCGGTCATACATGCAGTTAAGGAAGAGGAATGCCACGAAGTGAGGAAAGCACCGGCCCATCCTAGAGGGAACTCGGGACACCAATGGTTGGACAAATATTGTTCGTACCATAAGTTTGACTCCCACAACACCTCTGAGTGCAAAAGTGGCGTTGTACGACAGTATGGAATATATGCAAAAGGCACAGGAGAAAAACCACTAATGGGTTAGGCCTGAAGCTCAGAGACACGACCAGGACAAAGACCGGAGGAGAAATGACCGGAACAGAGAAGGGAGGCCGGTTCCATACAAAGAACATATCAGGATATTCTTTGGCGGACCAGAGGGTGGAGACTCCGCTGCTCAGAGGAAAAATTGGGTCCGAAGCATCTACGTAGGAGAAGTAAGCGCGGACCCAGTCAGAAGAAAGCAAACAAGGAGGGAACCGATCGTCTTCACCGACCAGGATCTCCCTTCCACCAGTGATGACCATAATGATCCTTTGGTTATCACTATGGACATTAACGGGGTAGATGTCTCTCGGGTATTGATTGACACGGGTAGTAGTGTCAATATATTGTACCTGGAAACTTTTCAAAAGCTTGGGTTTTGTCGGACATAACTTGAACCCTTGAAAACTATCCTTTCACGCTTCACGGGAGGTGCAGTTCAAGCAGAAGGATCAATTGTCCTACCTGTTGAACTGGGCACAGGGGACAAAACCGTGTGGAAAAAAATGCAATTTATTTATGTGGACATCAAGTGTGTCCATAACGCTATCCTTGGGAGATCGGGCATCAACCAAGTTTGGGCCGTGATCTCCATGCCCCACCTATGCATGAAATTCTACAACCTGGGTGGTGTGGGCAAAGTCCGGGGAGATTAAAGAAACGCACAAGAGTGCTATGTCCGGGTGGTGAAGAAGATGATGAAAGGCGTCAACATCATCTCACAAGAGATAGCTAAGGGAGAAACCCGGGAAAGGAACGAACCCGAAGCCGAGACAGTGGAGATTGAACTCCACCTAAGGGACTCTTCAAGGATGGTTCGGAGTGGCGCAAACCTGCCAGAAGACCTACGGGAGTAAATAACCCGGATACTCCGAGAGTATGCGGGTATTTTTGCTTGGAGTGTGGCGGAAATGCCTGGCATCGATCGCTTAGTCATTTGCCACCGGCTGGCAGCAAGGGAAGGAGCGAGGGCAATAAGGCAGAAGAAACGGCTGGGTGCGAACTCTTAAGTTTCTGTACGCTTTAAAGGCTACCACCAAATCTACATGGCTAAGGAGATGAGGAAAAGAAATCATTCCTCACACTTGAAGGTACCTACTGCTACCGGGTGATGGCGTTTGGCTTGAAGAACTCAGGGGCCACGTACCAGCGCATGGTAAACAAACTCTTCAAACCTCTGTTGGGAAAGACCATGGAAGCCTATGTGGATGATATGCTGATCAAAAGCTGGCTGTATGCGGATCACCCTGTTGACATGAAGAAGTCCTTCGAGATTGTGACAAGGTACAACCTCCGGTTAAACCCCAAGAAATATGTCTTCGCGTCTTGGGTTAATGGTAACGAAGAGGGGGATAGAGCCGAACACGGAGAAAATCACGGCCATCACTGAAATGCAAGCCCTGACCTTGGTAAGAGATGTGCAGAGCCTGGCAGTTCCTCTTCCGGTCAGCGGAGAGATCCCTTCCATTCTTTAAGGTCTTGAAAAAGGCCAACGCCTTTGCATGGGACGAGGAATGTCAGAGGGCTTTCGAAGAATTGAAGGAGTACCTGGTGTTAGATATTTGTATTGTCAAAACCCGAACCGGGTGAAACTTTGTGTAGGGATATCCCCCACGTTGTAAGCTCAATTTTAATAAGAAATGACGGGGCACAAAAGCCCATTTATTACGAGAGTCAAGCACTAAACGGAGCTGAAAGTAGATACACAATGATGGAAAAAACAGCGTATGCACTCTTCATTACCGCCAAGAAGTTAACATCATATTTTCAAGCTCATATAGTTGAAGTCCTTACCGATCAACCACTTGGTGCGGTATTGCGAAATTTAACATCCTCCGGGAGGATGGTGAAATGGGCGATGATGTTAACTCAATTTAACATAGAATACCAGCCAGGATCAGCAATCAAGGGCCAAGTCCTTGCGGATATCCTGGTAGAGATGACCGGTCTTGGTCCTGATAAACCGGTAAACCAACCCACAGAGCAATGGTGGGAGATGGCCGTAGACGGAGCATCTGAGCCAAAAGGATATGGAGGCAGTGTTGTGTTCACGACCGGAGGGGTTCAAAATATATCATGCCCTTATTTTCAACTTCAAGTTAACAAACAATGAAGCTGAATACGAGG